ATTATCTATTCTGCAATTTGCGCGAATACTACACATTGAATAAAACAATTTTTACGGATTTTATCGCATTTAATTTCAAACTTATTTTTAATTTTTTCAGGTTCACCCATGGTTACGGGGGGGGGGGGGGCTGAGGTGTTTGACGTCGGAACGTCGGTGCTCCGATTCCTACCAAGGATTATACGCAAGGCTATTGAAATTAAAAACAATCTAATTTCAATAGAGTAGATGGATTGATGGGTGCCGGGGGCGTTAATTTAAAAAATTACATTAACCACCGCGACCCCCTTGCGGGTGAAATTGCGTAAAATCCGTTCTTAGTTGACCTCAACTCGGTGAAAGGAGTATATCTACCAAATTTCAAGTCTCTAGACCTTATGGTTCCAGGGATATCGTGATGAGTCAGTACATAGGTGGAAATCAGTTATCTATGCAATCTATACATACAAAAAAATAAAATTGAAGTGTCTGTTTGTAATGTTAAAATAACAGCTTTTTACTAAATGCATATGAAAGTATATACTGTACTAATAACAAAAACACAATTTTTAAAATTTTTGTCTGTCTGTCTGTTTGCTCCGGCTAATCTCCGAAAGGGCTAGACCGATTTTGACGGGAATTTCACTGGCAGATAGCTGATGATATAAGGAATAACTCAGACTACTTTTGTTTTAAAAAAGAATTAGGGTTTCGCGCCAAAAAATTAAAACCCATGAAATCCATGTTCCACGCGGGCGAAGTCGCGGGGAACAGCTAGTATATATATAATAATATAGAAGATTTATTCGAAAGCAGTTGCAGTAGGTCTGCTATAGCAGAACTCGACACCAAGCTTTGTTTATATTTGTGCACACATATCAGTGTATTAGTATTCGTTATTTACTTCTAACGGTGTAGATCGTGTACTGTAAAATCGAAAGGAGCTTTGGTCGGAGTGTTTGGGATTTGAAGACAATATTTGAATTCTAGAGAGCGATGATATACAAAAAAATTCTTTTGACCTTATATGGTTTATATGTCATTTGTGGATTCCGCAGGTAGGCTGGTCATAACCTCATTAAACAACAATTTAATTTTAATTAATTGGGTATTAATAAATTGTGCTAATTTGTTCAGCATTAGATTAGTGAAGGTTTGTAATGAATCGCATTTATATCTCACTTCTTTTTTATTTTTTCATAAAATAATATTTAAAAACTTTGTCTAAGCCGCGTTATTTAACTAAAAGCAAAAATAAAATAAAAATATATCCATTGAGTCTTAGAAGGAGCAGTCTTTATTGAAACTATTATTGGAAAAGTATCGAGCAAAAGCTTCTGAATTGTTCCAATGTTAATACAATACGCGAAAAATCTCAGCAAAAACGACTATTGATAACAAACAGCTATCTCTCTGTTAAAACAGCACAAAGTAACTCAAAAGAAATTTTCTACATAGTAGCCCTCTTGTGGCTCGTAACTACACAATAAGTGAACAAAAACTGTGATTTATACGCAAAAAGTGTAGCTTGCGTTTAATACATTACCACTGAGGTTTTCTCTAAAACATTGTGTTGTTGCGGCGTCTACTTTTCTATAGTTTATATTGTGAATAGGGTTGTATACAGGCAAAGCGAAATAATTCTTAACATAATACGCCTTTACACTATTTACATTTGTAACAATGTAAATATGAAATAAATTTAAGGTATGTTAAAAGGTAACGCTTGTGAATTATTTTTAATGAGTACTAGCGACCCGCCCCTGCTTTTCCTGGAAAGGATCTAACAATAGGAAGTTATTCAAATGTAAGATAATAAAACATCATTTAATTTGCCAATTTTTCATATTTTCAAACAACAAAAAAATATAGTTTTTCGGATAAAATGTAGCCTCGATTCCCCCTGATATTGCTCGGTTCGCATCGGTTCAGCCATTTCGAACATGAAACGGAACTGTTATTTCAAAATTTAAAACAGACACTTCAATTTTGTATATAATACATAGATTACCTGATAGGTAACGTAATTATAAACACTTTTGTTTTTTCTGTGGTTCAGGGTATTGATATCGGTTTGGTGAAAGCAACTACTTCCGTACTGGACTGCGAAAATAAACATAGTAGATTCAGGTAATTTTGTAGTTGTTGTTGCCTAGAAAAAACCAGGGCCTATTTCAAATTATATATAATTTGGACCGATTGCAACCACGTCGCTATGCTTATGATTTTCATAAACTTTCAACAGCGCAGGACAAACCATGGTGCCGTAACTAATATAATGTACACTTACTTATTCAAACCTACGTCACACAATGAGATTATCAACCCAACTAGACCGTAAACCAACAAATTAAAACATTTGAAAGTTAAGAAGCCCCCTAAAATAATATTACCATAACTTTGTTTCTCTTTCCCGAGTTTGTATCGGCGAAAAAAAATCAAATCGTGAAAAGTATGTCAGCGTCACGTCGTTTCTAGGGCTGAATTTGGCTGAATAGTAATTACCTCTATACAAAATAGTTTCCTTTCTTAACCGACTTCAAAAAAGCAGGAGGTACTCAATTCGACTGTATTTTTTTATATGTTTTACCTCAAAACTTTTTTCTTTGATTCTTTTTTTATTTAATTGGGGACACGTAACTAGTGTCTCACGTGTCCTATATGAATTTGATCAAGATTAGACCAGTAGTTTTTGAGTTGAGACTTCAACTAAATTGATGATGTTCTCACTTTATTTCAGAAGTCGGTTGTACAAAATTTTTAATTTTGCCATTTGTTCTTACTTATGTATGTATATAATTAATTATGTTATGATATTTATTTAACAATTACTTTATGACTGGCTCTGCTTTTTGACACAATTTTTAAATAACAAGCAATAGGTCTCCATTTTTGTCTAGAAGTCCGCCTGGTTAGGAACTACCTTCACAAATGTGCATGCACTGCGATTTACCGGTGTGAAGGGTATACAGCCAATAATTACAGGTTGCAAGGCAATCCATCTTTAGTCCTTAGAGGTGACAAGGCATTTTTGGCCATCTTTATTTGAGGTTGCTTGCGGGTGATCATAGGCAGCCCATGGACAGAAGCAACTAACCATCACCCCACGCTTTTCTACAACAAAATGATTTTTTTTATGTTAATCATTATTTTCTTATTTTAAACTTATTGAAAACTATTTTCTATTTTTTAGATCGGTTATCTACAAATGCGAGTTTTTTATTTTTTTAAACTATTATTTATTTTATATTTTTTAGTGCGGCTAACTAAAAAAGCATTTTTTTGGGGAACAAAGTTCGTTTACATGGCTTACAGTAGATTGAACTGGCAGAAATCGTAGTTGTTTTATGAATTATTTGCAAATACTGAGGATCCTGGCAAGGATAATGAGACCAACTATTTAAATTGTTGCATTTTTATAGGTCGTTGATAAATGTGCGATGTTTCAAATCAATCCGACGTTTTGAAGGGGATAAAAATCACATTCACAAATTCCGTTACATAGATTCTACATACCAAGCTAGTAAAAGCGCATTAAAAACCTAATTTTTGAAGAAATACAAATAATTATTGTATACTTGTTTTATTTAAAACTAGCGACTCGCTCGGCTTCACCTGGGTAGGATCTATACTAAGGGCTAAATAATCAAACGCTATTCAATTTTAAGATGTCGTTAAGTCTCGTCGTGTCACAGTCAGTTTGACTTTAGGTGATAGAGACAGCATCAGACTTAAGGGCATTTTAAAATTGAGCAGCGTTGAACAGCCAAAAATTTTAAGAATAGTTATCAAGTCATAATGGCAAACAAGCCCCCCACCTCAAATTAAGACAGACATTTCAATATTACATACGGACACCTCAATGTTCTCTTTTCAGATACTCCGATCGGTGTAAGGGGATCTATGAGTTTTTACTTTTTACTGTTACAACTTAGAATCCATTACTATTGTAACAATTCCAATATTAAAATAACTATTCCCGCCCTGAGGTTGTCGTAAAATAGACTAAAGTTAAGGTGAAAGCTTCAGGGTGGCCCGCGAAATTCAAATTTTCTTACGTTTTTCGGACTTTGCAGGTCAGGGTCAGGTTGAATATTTAACAAAATATGATTCGCGGCCGTAACGAGTATGTGTTTACAGAATTATTATCATTAAAATCACCAATACAACCCTCCAAGTTCATATAATTCCTTTGAATGAGTTTTTATGGAAATAGCCATACAAAAATTGATAAGGGCGTGCTTCGGTGGTTTGGGCACGTTGAGCGAATGAGTGAAGACCGAATGGTGAAGAAAATATATAGCGCGAAAGTTAATATTAAAAGGTGTCGAGGTAGACCGAGACTAACTTTCGAAGACCATGTGAGCAAATTGCTCGAAGAGGGTAGGGTCAAGAGTACTCGGATACCTAGACGTGCATGCATGAAGAAGATAATGAATCTGAAAGAAGCGAAAGAGGTTTGTAAGGATCGTGACACTTGGATAACGGTGGTAGAGCCTTGCAGCAGCTTTTGCTGTTGCACGTATGGGCCGGCTCGAGCCGGGTTAGTACCACGACCTCACAGAATACCGGCGTGAAGTGGAACCTCTGCTTCCGCGTTTCGTCTGGTGAGTGCAGGTGACCGGATGCCCAATTCCCCCCCCCCCCCCCCCATCAACATGGTAGCGGAATTACGTCAAAAACTACCCCAGGAGGGTACCAGTACCCCTGGAGAATCCCTCGCTGAGCATCCACGACCATGCTATTCCACTCCTGAGCGTGGGTGCTCAGGCTGCCCCGCGTATTCTGGGGGGGGCAAAATTCCGCTCAACACAATAACTGCTCGGGGCAAACTGAGCAACAAGACCAAGGCGACCCCTGCCACGCTATCCGTGAATTTCTGCAACATCAGGGGACTTCACTCGAACCTAAACGCCGTCCACTACCATCTTGAGACGGCGAAGCCGGCCTTGCTCTTTCTGACCGAGACGCAGGTGTCCTCTCCGGCTGATACTTCGTATCTCTCCTGCCCGGGGTACAAATTGGAGCACTCCTTTGTGCCTCGGGCTGGAGTTTGCGTGTATGTCAGAGAGGACATCTGTTCTCGACGCCTCGGCAGTCTTGAAGGTTCGGACCTGTCCATCCTTTGGCTACGCGTAGACAGCGACGACCATCCGCGCGTCTACGTGTGCCTCTATAGGTCCCATAGCGGTAATGCCGAAACAGACCGACTCATCGACCACGTCCAAATGGCTACAGATTCCTTGCTACAACAGGTCCCATCCGCAGAGATCGTGATCCTTGGCGATTTTAACGCCCACCACGCCGAATGGCTCGGTTCACGTTTAACCGATCATGCGGGGAGATCTGTTTATGACTTTGCCTTGGCATATGGTCTGACACAACTGGTTACATCGCCTACGCGGATTCCAGATGTTGAGGATCATACACCTTCCCTGTTGGACCTTCTGCTGACCTCTCATCCGGACGGATATCAGGTTTCCGTCGATGCCCCTCTTGGCTCTTCGGACCATTGTCTGATCCGGAGTGTGGTGCCACTCACGCTCCCCTCGCGGTTGCGTTCTGCAGGTTGCCGCCGTGTTTGGCATTACAGGTCGGCGGATTGGGACGGAATGCGGTCTTTCTTTGCTTCCTACCCATGGGGGCGGGTTTGCTTCTTGCCGGATGATCCCAGCGCTGTTGCTGACTCTGTCACTGATGTAGTGCTACAGGGAATGGAACTATTTATTCCATCATCTGTGGTACCCATCGGAGGCAGATCTCAGCCTTGGTTTGGTCGCTCCTGTAAGACTGCATTACGCAGTAAGCAGGAGTGTTATCAAGCCTGGGCTGCGGCTTCGGTGACTCGGGATGTAAACACCAGCACACTCAAAAAGAAGTATAACTTCGCCTCCAGGTCCTTCAAAAGAGTTATTGCCAAGGCAAAGTCAGAGCACATAGGCAGAATTGGCGAGAAACTAGTTCGCCTTCCTTCGGGAACCCGTGCATTCTGGTCTCTCGCCAAGGCTGTCCAAGGGAATTTCTGTAAGCCATCACTACCATCTCTGCACAGGGAGGACGACTCACTGGCCCACGACGCAAAAGAGAAGGCCGACCTTTTAGGCTCCCTTTTTGCGTCCAACTCGACTGTTGATGACGGGGGGAACACACCGCCGACCATCCCGCGGTGTGAGTGCTCCATGCCGGATGTGCGATTCTCACAGCGCTCGGTTCGCAGAGCACTCCTCTCCCTTGACATCCACAAGTCGAGTGGGCCTGACGGAATCCCCCCAATTGTGCTGAGGACGTGTGCTCCGGAGTTGGCACCGGTTCTAACGCGTCTTTTCCGGTACTCCTACTCCCTAGGCGTAGTCCCGAAATCATGGAAGACAGCTTTTGTCCACCCGATCCCTAAAAAAGGCGACCGCTCAGATCCGTCCAACTACAGGCCTATCGCCATCACCCCCTTGTTCTCCAAAATAATGGAATCCGTTGTAAACTGCCACCTCATGCGGTACCTTGAGGATCACCAGCTGATTAGTGACCGCCAGTACGGTTTTCGTCGGGGTCGATCAGCTGGTGATCTTCTGGTCTACTTAACTCATAGATGGGCGTTGGCAGTAGAGTCCAAGGGGGAGGCATTGGCCGTTAGTCTGGACATTGCGAAGGCCTTCGATCGGGTTTGGCACAAAGCGCTTCTTTCGAAGCTCCCTTCCTATGGGCTTCCCGAGAAATTATGCAATTGGATCACCAGCTTTCTTGCAGATCGGAGCATCAAGGTCGTTGTAGACGGTGCATGCTCCGACTACAAGCCTATTAACGCTGGTGTTCCACAAGGCTGCGTGCTATCACCAACGCTGTTTCTTCTGCATATCAATGATATGTTGCAAGCTGGTAGCATTCATTGCTATGCAGATGACAGCACTGGTGATGCTCTATACACCGGCCGTGCCAATATTTCTCGGGAAAACGTCACCGAGTACCGGAACAAACTTGTGTCTGAAGTCGAGTCTTTGCTGGACAAAGTCTCGGATTGGGGGCGACTAAATCTAGTCCAGTTTAATCCTCAGAAGACACAAGTTTGCGCGTTTACCGCTAAAAAGAACCCCTTTGTCGTATCTCCTCAGTTTCAAGGTACTCCCCTTGTTGCCTCAGCCAGTATCGGAATCCTCGGCGTCGACATATCGAGTAGCGTGCAGTTTCGTGGTCACTTGGAAGAGAAGGCCAAATTGGCCTCTAAAAAGCTTGGCGTGCTCAGCAGAGCGGGACAGTATTTCATGCCGGCTCAACGCCTGCAACTTTACAAAGCGCAGGTTCGGCCTCACATGGAATACTGTTCCCATCTCTGGGCTGGGGCTCCCCAGTGCCAGCTTCTTCCACTTGACCGCATCCAGCGCAGAGCGGCTCGAATCGTCGACGACCGAGTCCTTTCCGATCGGCTCGACTCATTGGCATTGCGAAGAGATGTTGCATCTCTTAGCATTTTCTTTCGCATTTACCATGGGGAGTGCTCTGAGGAATTGTTCGGATTAATCCCAGCCGCCAAATTTCACGAACGCACATCGCGGCAGAACTCCCGATACCATCCACACCATCTGGATGATTGGCGGTCCACCACTGTGCGATTTAGAAGATGTTTTCTTCCTCGCACAACTTCCTTGTGGAATAGTTTACCACCAGCGATTTTTCCGGACCGATACGACTTAGGGACCTTCAAGAAAAGAGCCTACTCCTTTTTAAAAGGCCGGCAACGCATCTGCAATTCCCCTGGTGTTGCGGTTGTTCATGGGCGGCGGTAGTCACTTACCATCAGGTGAGCCGCATGCTCGTTTGCCCCCTCTCCTATAAAAAAAAAAAAAAAAAAAAAACTTGGCGATCTGTTCTCTCTGGCTACCCCGTCAGGGATTGTGCGTGAAGATAAGTAAGTAAGTAAGCCATACAATACAAATATAGCATGTCTGAGAAATAAACTGTGTCGAGGACATTAAAGTCTACCAACTCGTATTGGGCGACGCGGCGGATTTATTGTAGCACAATTTGGTGTTGCTTTTGTTTATAGGCGTCAGTAGTCATATAGGTGAGCCGCATGCTCGTTTGATCCCTCCTATATAAAAATCAAAATGAGGCGAGGCATGTGTCCAGCAGTGGAACGTGTTTTTCTGATATTAACAAATGCCACAAAATATTGAATAAATTTATTTTACACATTTCGGAAATTTATTTTAACTCATTTTAATTCCGACGTTACGAATGTTTTAACTGCATGCTGCAAAGTGCACAAAACGTCGGGAGTTAGGAAAAAGTTTAAATTAAACGAGCCAAGCCTGATTTCAGGACAAACTAGTTTTTTCTAGACTAAAATAGTTTTTACTAAGGCCATCGTGAGTATCAATCAAAGAAAAACTAGTTTGTCCTAAAATCGGGTTTGGCTGGTAACGTACATATAATTACACACATGGACAAATGTAGAAGAATGCAAAAGAAAAGGTTTAATTTCTCCTGTTTTAATTATCGTGCGTACTGGGCACAAACAAATACTATTTAAAAAAAAGTTTTGGAATGATTTTTTCTAACTGTATTTGTTTTCATGTAATTATTGTGCATTTTTGCTCTTTCATGCTGCGAAAAATTATGCCAATTTTTAAATTTAGGTTGTAAGTGCTAATTGCTACTCCAAATAAACTGAGAATTCCAGATTTATACTCAAGTAACTCAATCCACAAGTTACTTTATTTGAAACTGGGTACACCGAAAAACATGTGACACACATTAGAAGTATCAAAATCTGTGGTACAGTGAGTTATCATGAAGTATCGGCAGACCAGACTATGCCATACTTGCAGGACAGGGACGTAAACGGATAACTGTGGCCACATATGACCGGTTCTTCGCTATCAACGTGCTTAGAAATCGGACCTTAACTTCTTCTGAGTTAAGTAAGAAGCTCCAAGAAGTTCAAGGGGTTACAGTAAGCACAAGAACTGTGTCAAAAATGTTGCAATCGACCGGAATGCCATCGAGTAACTTAAGGCTTTACATAGCCTGAATGACCTTGACGAAACGGCGATCGCAGAGATTTTGGCCGACGTCAACACCGTCTAGCAACTACGTTCTGTGTTACTTATAAAAGTGCAAAGATTAATAGACTGTAGAGATGACAATTATATAAGTGACATACTGCCTGTTATGGTTGCGCATCACTGAGAATTATCTCGCGGTTACGAATCTTCAATTACATTGTGCTGTAGCTTTGTCCGGTAGGCGTCACGAGCTATCAAGTGTTCAAGTTTCAAGTACGTAAGAGTTTTTTATTTTATATGTTAAATCGTATTTATTTGTATCGTATTAGTAGATCTGGGTCAAAGCGTTCGCTGTAAATTTTCCCAGGTTTGATCCCCGACAGCACGAATGAAATTTGTAATTGCAATTTTCATCAACACGCATTGGGGAAGCACGGCGGGCATTTCCTTGCCCTAAAACCCTCTCAGAAATAAAAAAAAGAGTCTTGTGCCCAGTATACTTGTATAGCCTGTTACTTTACTTTGTAGCAATATTTATATTCGTTTCAGATATAGAAGGGTAACTTATGCTGACAAAAATATCATGTGGAGGCGACGAAAACGTAAAACATCTTTGTACCTAGATAAAACGTTCGAAAGATTGTCAGTCTGTCATACGCCACATTTTCTATAGAGCGTAGAACATTGCAGATAGGGCAAAATAAAAAATAATCCAAAATATTATAGGAATGATTTATTAATAATATATACATTTATAGGTATTTATAGTTAAAATAATAAACAAGCTGCAAGGTTCGACTAATAATGTTTTTTGTAAACACAATTGTAAAATTCCTGTTTTAATTTTTACCAATGGTTAGTTGATAAAACGTAGTCAAGATCACTTTGTATAAAATATATTTAATTAAAATTGACACATGACCTATTTGGCCTTCTACTTACAACTCGGTGGAAATTTAAAAAGAAGATTTTGTCTTTTCACACAAGTATTGTTTACAACTGGCGTGGTTTCGAAAAGCGTGATTAAGTGTCAGCGGTATATAATCAATTAAATACTGAACTTTTTTGAAATTTATTTTTTTGTTTATTTTTGTTATATCTTCTTAAAAACTGACGTTATCTCACTATTTTATTATTTGTTTATTTTGTAACGCATAAGGATAAGTTAGACTAAGTTAGATTAACCTGGATAAGTTTATAATTTTTTTTAATTTTATCACAAAATTTCCGCAATAAATTATTACCTTTTCTACAGTGATTCTCTCCTCTTAGTTTCGGCGTGACTGTAGGATGTTATAGTGAGTCACCGTCAGTTACTAAGCGGCCATAAATCATTATATGTATGTATAGACATACATATATACATTTTTTGATTTTAATATTTATGTTTTTATGAATTTTGATTGATTTTTGAAACCTGGTAAAATTATTTTTTTCCATACCAATTGATGGGCCTGAGTATAATGCCAGTTATGCTCTTTGGATGGCTTGGCTTCTAATAATAGCTTCTGCACCTAACACGGCGGAATAGTTATTATTATCTATAAGACCATTTGAGGAAACAGTTTTTGTTAATAGTTATGAGTGTAACATTTTATCAGCTGCTTTGTTTATAGTGCCTTGAGCAACACTTTGCCGGTTTCTGTACAGAAAATGATGCTGGCTTTGCAAATATGGATGGCCGCTACCATTGAATATAATACCCGCTATGTTACACTTATTACATAGAAACTTTAATTATCTTTTGCATAAAATTCTAAATAGCACCTTTTACACAAGAAAGTAAACTTTTAAATCAGTCCATCTAGTTTTCACTAAATAAAAAGTAAAACAAACCAATAGGTCCGTGATTTAAATTTTTTTGCAACTTTTTATAGAAAAGCATGACCTTATCATAATATAAAAGTCAATCATTTAGCCATGTGATAAAACTTTTAAGTGTGCCAGTCAAACATTATTGATGATATTCGGGTCATTATACTGGAAATAGTCTTTTAAATATTTTGTAGTACAATTGATAATCTTCAGTATGATTGACCGTGTATATGACTTTTATAAGTCTATGTTATTTTTGATGTAAATTATTATTGCAGATAAAAGCCCTTTCACATTTATTTTAGTCTCGAATTAAATTAATCAAAATGAAAATAATAACTTTGGCTCTTTATAACTGATCTTTAAATGTAAAACACTGACTTGAAATTATATAATTATTGGCATTTTTTTAATTCATTGAACTTTTTTAAGATTTTGTTGAAACTCTACTGGTAAAAAAAAAAACAAATATATATATTATAGTTCTTGATGAAAATAATGTACGCTCGTTACATCGCATCCCATCAAGAATTTCTAATGTAATTCTTGGTGTAAAGCTAAGACGTGATAATAACTGTAAACAATAGAATAACAAAATAATGAAAAAATTTACATTTACATACACAACATTTACAAAAATACTTGCTTTATAACCTAATAAATATTATTTGACCGTAATAAAATAAAACAAGGTAGTCTTCGGCACGAAAGTAAAAATAAATATTTTCGATTATTTTTGCAATATCTAACAGCCGGGTCAGCGCGCGATTCTGATCAATCTAAAGATGCTAAATTTCAGCAAGCACTGTCAAATTCAATAGGAGTGACAGAAAAAAACGGTTCTTGATATAGAAGGGTAAATAAATTATTTAATCTATAAAGTAAAATCACTTTATTGAAAATCAAAATAATCCAATAGCTTTATTAACATGAGACACATAATTGTACGAGTGCTTACAATACTTAACATTATTTTACTGAAATCTCAGAAAGTTTTTTTTTAATAGAATAAGGTTGACAAACGAGCACACAGTCCACCTGATGGTACACTTACCATTTAGATGTGTATGGGCCGTAGCAACCACTTTGCTACGGCCCATACACATCTACATCTATTCTCGATTACGTATCAAAATGTAGATGCGTTGTCACCCGTGAGGACTAAGATGTAATGCCTCGTTTCCAGTAAAAAGGTTCTCCGGTTCTCTTCACTCACCATACGAAACACAGCAGGGTTAAACTGCTATTTTACATGTTATTCCGTGGCCCTTCCCCGGTCA